TGTAGTTTGTAGTCTAGCAGACCAAATTCCCTTGCTATTTGTGTTGGTCTGCTAGACTACAAACTACAGAAATAACGTTAGCAGACCCAAATTGTATTCCTCCCATATTTCAGCTCTAAAACAAGATTTTCAGAATCTGAAAAATGATAGACTGTGGTTTTCAAATACGCCAATTCCAAAGATCGCATTTTCAAAGCCCAAAACAGTACGTTTGATGCGGTTTTTCTCCAATAATGTGAGAAGGGATGTTTGATAGAATTTTAACAATGACATTTTTGGATTCAGCAAATTTGAAAACATTATACAATTTTTCAGAATCTGGAAATCTTGATTTCATGTTAGCATTTTTAACAATAGTAAAACTTAGGTCTGCTTATGTTCATTTTGTAGTTTGTAGTCTAGCAGACACACCTCAACTCCCAGTTGTCTCCCATGTAGCGAGAGAGCTAGAGCATGATTTCCAGCTGAAGCAGCGAAAACTCCATTTTTCCTTTTTTCCTCTGTCAAATTCTGAAGTGCATACCGAGCGCCTCTCTCCTTGAAACTACCAGTATCCTAAAAAAAAGGGGCGGAGTTTCAGAAAAAGTGGGCGGAGCTTCCAACCTGATTGACTTCCATTTTCAAAAAAACGTTCATATCGAAAAGTTGTGAGAGACGTCGGGATTTTCGGCAATCCGTCCGAACAATACCTCCCTGGAATTTATTGTTTATTTATTTTTAAAAATTAGAAAAAAAAAATTAAATTAAAGTAAAAAAAATTCTCACCTGAATTCTATGATGAGCCATTGAAATATCACCGAATTGCAGAATTTTCGGATTTTCAGGATCACAAAACTCATCTTTCAGCTTAAAACTTGCCACGTGGCGTCGGGTAAAACTGACTGAAAAATTCTAAAAGTAGGTCAAAAGCTCTGAAAAATCGATGCTCACAAAAAATCGATTTGCGCAACGAGTTTTGGAGCATTTTCTCTATTGAAATTGGGAGATTTTCGATTAGTTTTGAGCGAAATAATCATAATTTTTGAAATTCTTCGATTTTAGCCACGTTGTGCATTTTTCAAGTTTAACTTGGAGATTGAAATTAGGTCATTTTTGCCAGTTTTTTCGGTTTGGTTTTTTAAATCAAGTTTTCAGTCAATTTCATAACTAATTCTCTTGCAAAAAAATGCAAAAATTATTATTTTGAAACTTTAAAATTGTGACTTTTTAAAATATTTATTTGCGAATTTGAAAATTTTGTATCTTTTTATGACATTGGAGAATTTTGGATATGAAATTGAGGGAATTTTGAAAATTTTGAATTTGTATTTTTTTTAGATTTTCTGTTTTTTTTTGGGTGTTTGGGTTTTTTGTCAGAGCTTCAAAAATTCTTTTGTCCAGTAGTTTGAAAATTGAAAAATTCAATTTTTTGGATTTTCAGAAACTCGGAATGTTTAAACCTAGAGACACCTGAGATAAAGCGTTCCAAATTCAGGAGGTGAGAGACGCAGACGACGAGACACACTGCGTTTTTAACCGAGGAAACTTCAAGTGACCGTATCTCGAGTTCTAGATGAACTAGGAAGTTGGGTTTTGGACAGAATTACATGGTTTGAAATGGGGTTTCAGACTATTTATGGAAAAGCTCTCATAGGGAAATTTAAAGTACCGGTCAGTACGATATACAAAACCAGATTTTATGACTTTTTGGTGGTTTTGACCAGTTTCAGGAGCTTGAAGCTCGGCTGTCAGGTCTCCGATCTTTTTGATATTTCTGGTATTCAAAATAATCGCGCGGGTGAACGAGTAAAAAATGTGTAGAGAGTCTCCAAACCAGTAGAGGCGCTGTAGAGACGCAGACATTTTTACTCGTTCACTCGCGCGATTATTTTGAATAGACAATATGTGTAAAACATACCTAGATTGAAAACTTTTTCTTTACAAAACTCTCTGGAAATTCCTAGTTTTTCAGCTATCTTGCACATTTCTTCGTTCCATGTTTTCAGCACAAAAACATGCGTCTTTCAGAAATAGGAATTTTCAAAAAATTCTGTGAATGCAAAGTTCTGAATCTAGGTCTCTACTACATGTTCTACGCTACACAAAATTTTCAAAGTGATCGGAAACTAGACAGCAGAGCTCTAGACTGTTGAAAATCTTAAAAATAGTCAAAAATCAGTTTAAAAATACAATTCTGTCTATCTTATTGACCTCGAAAAATCCAAAAAGCCCAAAAACTATTTTGATCTACTCAAAAAATTTTTGTGATCTACTTTTTTGAAAAAATTGAGCGCGCACCCCAAAATCAATATTTGTTCCCGGTTCTTCGAATTTCTGTTCTTTTCTCTAGTTTTTTGTAAAAAAAAAAGCATATAATGCTGATTCCGTCACTTCTGGAACTTTCCGCTAGCGCTGTATCCTCTGCTATTATAAATGGTAATTTTTGAAAATTCAAATATTTTTGAGATATCGAAATTTTGAATAATTGGTTTTTTCGGAAATTTCAGAAATTCAAAAAAGTGATTTCGCCAGATTTTCAGAAAATCAAAATTTCAAAATTTCAAAATTTTCAGGCACTCCTCCTGCTGAAAACACCGTACTGCTTCCAGAAGTCTCCAACCTAATATTCGAAAAATTTGTTCAGAATTTCGAAGTCCTAGTCACCCGAAGACAAGCCAAAGACATTTGCACAAGTCTCAACATATCAAAAATCGATTTAAGACACAAAGTTTTGAGGCGAATCGATTTTTGGATTATTCGAAATCAAAATTTGATCTCCCTGGCACTTGGAGATTTGTCCGGTTTGGAAACTTTCACTATAGATCGTGAGGATTTTTTAAAAATAATAAAAAATTTGGAAGAAAAATTTTTTCCAGACTCTGAATATTTCATAAAAATTCATCCGATGCTCCAACGTCTTCTGAATTCTGAATCTCAGAAAAATCTGATGCATTTGGATATTAGTGGATTTGAAGGAACATTTACACCGAAATGGATTTGTCGAGTATGTTTGTAATTTTGAAATTTTGCTGAAAAAACTTCCAGACCACCAAAATGCTGCCATCTCTCAAAAATTTGATCATTTCTGGAAGAAAAATTCACAATCGAGAAATCCGAAAAATTGGAAAACATTTACCGAATCTTCAATTTTTGGAAATTTCGAATACTGGAATAACGAGAATTGATGGAATTTCGAAATTGAAGAAACTGGAAATTCTGGGAATCGGAGGATTGAATTCTGAAGATTCTGGAGTTTTAATGGAACTTTTTGAGTTGAAGAATTTGAGAGTTTTGGATTTGTCTAGAAAAAAGTGAGTTTTCAGATTTTTTTTTTCAATTTTTTGAAGTTTTCGATGGGCCAAAACATACTTAAAGCAGGTTTCTGGGCCTTTAAAAGTGTCGGAAATCACTCTAAAACTTTCTAGAACCCCTTGGAAACTCTTTAAAATAACTTTTCTGGCAATTTTTAGAAAAAGTGTACGGATGGCTGAGTGGGATTTTTTATGGAAATTTACCAATCTGAAGGTCGCGGGTTCGAATCCCACCGGTGGCAACTTTTTTTGGTTTTTCTTGTGGAGTCAGAAAATGAGCATAGAATGCCTAGAATGTTTTTTTTCCTAGATTTCAATTTCTAGGTCATGACCTAGATTTCAATTTTTAGATTCAAAAGTTTATTTTTAAATTTGATACGTTGAGAGCTTCAAAATGAGTAGCATCATGCCCCAATTTTCTCTAGGAGGTTTTCGTATCGGTAAATTTTTTTTCAGTTGTGTCTGTTGCGAAAAAACGCAACTCCTGAACCAATACCTCTCCTGTAACAAAATTCTTCCAAATCTGGAATTTATCGATTGCTCAGGAACCCTGTGTACCAATGAATCTGTCTGGAAACTTGCCAAATCTCATCCACGTCTTCGAAAAATCTCAATAATAGAAACTGAAGCAACGTTATCTGAAATTCCGAATTTGGAAATTATGAGTTTAGCGAATTTGAGCTCCTGTGTGAAATGTCTAAAATGGTACAAGACACAAATCAACTACCCCATTACTGCATCGATTTTGAGAGAGATTCGAAACTTTTTGGACGCGGATTATTCGATTTTCAAAGAATCTGAAATTCGAGGGTGCTTTGAAGTGGTCTGTGAAACAATTGAAACATTTCCAGACGGGCAATCGATTCATCGATTGATTGCTGACGTTCTTTATCAAATGATAAGGTGAGTAAATTGACGTTAAAATCCAGAAAAATCTGTAAAAAATAGTGAAAAATAGAGAAAAAACGAGTCAGACTGAGCGAAAATAAACGAAGATGTTACGTTAGCAGACCCACGCCTCTAACGTCCAACTTGTAGCAATTTGGGTCTGCTAGACTACGAACTACAAATTATAGATAGCATATCCACGACGCAAGAATTCAACTAGAAGCGATATGGGTCTGCTAGACTACAAACTACAAAAGTCACATTAGCAGACCCACGCCTCTGGCATCCAACTTGTAGCAATTTGGGTCTGCTAGACTACAAACTACAAAAGATAGATAGCAGACCAATGAGACCAATCTAGCGCGCATTAGAAATTCGTCAGTGGGTCTTCTAGACTACAAACTACAAATCAAACATTAGCAGACCAATCTAGCGCGCATTAGAAAAGCGTCAGTGGGTCTGCTAGACAACAAACTACAAAAGTAAAATTAGCAGACCCACGTCGCAAGCATTCATCTATAAGCGATATGGGTCTGCTACGCTACAAACTACAAGTCAAACATTAGCAGACCCAAATGTTCTTCTTGCATCTGTTTCGCTCAAAAAAGAGCTTTTTGAATTCTGAAAAATGGTAGACTGGGGTTTTCAAATACGCGGAATCTGAAAATTTTGTGTCTAATTTTCCTAGGTTTTCCTAATGTTTGAATTTTTGCAAATTTCAGAAATGGCCGAATCTATCCACTCTCAGTACCCCAACGTCACGATATGGTGCATCATCTGCTAAATATTTTGGATTTTTGGCAAAATTGGTATGGAGACGTGGAACAAACAAAAACCGTTGAACTCGTTTGGGCCTGCCTGACTGACGAAATTTTTCTGACGACTCCAAATTTGAATCTCCGCCAAATTTTTGAAGTGGCACTAGAGAATGTATTGTTTTCTGAAATTGTAAAAGAAAATTGTCTGATTTCAATGGTGAAATCTCTTCATTTTATGGATTCCAAGGGAAAAGAGCAAATTTTGAAAGATTCGGATTACTGTAGAAAAGTACTCAACCTTTTACATTCGCTGTATACTCGAGGAAAAGCGAAAATGTACAAATTGGTGTTCAAATTGATAAATAAAGCGGATTTTGAGGATTTTGTGAGAGCCGGAGGGATTACTGTACTTTGTCGGCATTTGAAAAAATATAGTTTTTGTAAAAGTTTGAAGTTTTTGATCAAATTGGCAACCAGGATTCCCGAATCGGAAGTGACAAGAAGCGAATTTTTCAAATGGGAAAATTTGGGAAAACTTGTGTAAGTTTTTTTTTTCAATCTTTGAAATATTGTGAGCAAAGTTATAGATTAGGGATTTTCAGTTTTTTCAACGCAAACTTTGATATACCGTTAAGCTATGAAGTTTAAGTTTTTGGAATTTGAAAATGCGATTTTTAGAATTGGCGTGTTTTAAAACCGCAGTCTAGCATTTTTCAGATTCTGAAACTCTCGTTTTAGAGCTGAAAACCAATTAAGAAAGCAATTTGGGCCTGCTATGTTTGTTTTGTAGTTTGTAGTTTAGCAGGCCAACGAGCGCAAGTAAGGGGAATTGGTCTGCTAGACTACAAACTACAACAATTGAGCTAGCAGGCCCACGCCGCAAACATTCGAATACTAGGGTCTTAGGCCTGCTAGACTACACACTACAAAAATAGAGTTAGCAGACCCACGCCGCAAGCACCTAACTTGTAACGACTTGGGCCTGCTAGACTATAAACTACAGAAGTAGATTTAGCAGACCAATTCCTTTGAAAGCGCTTTCTACATATTGGGTCTGCCAGACTACAAACTACGAAAAAGGGTTAGCAGACCCACGCATCTAGCATTCAACTAGAAGCGATATGGGTCTGCTTGACTACAAACTACAAATCGAACATTACCAGGCCGATCTAGCGCGCATTAGAAATGCGTCGGTGGGTCTGCTAGACTACAAAGTACAAAATAGCAAACCAACACCTTTAACAGCGCGTTCTCCGTCTTGGGCCTGCTAGACTACAAACTACGGAAATTGAGCTAGCAGACCAATGGCACAATCATTCTACCCCTTGAGTCTTGGGCTTGCTAGACTACAAACTACAGTTATAATTAGCAGACCCAAATGTTTTCTTGGCTCGTTTCGCTCAAAATCGAGTTTTTTTAATTCTGAAAAATGGTAGACGGGGGTTTTCAGACACACTGAATTTGAAAATTGTATTTTCAACTGTTTAAAAGCTTATCTTTATAGTCAGAAAGGTGATTTTAACTCTTGAAGATCAACTTTTGGGTTTTTATAAACCAAAACAACTTTTTTAATAATTTCAGACGATTCTTCAAAGTGTGCAAGAAGCGAAATTCCAAAAATCTGCCCATGATCAAGCACAAAACCTACCTGATTTCTTCACTTTTTTCAATAATTCTGGCATCGGTGAATTCTGAAAATCGTCAATTTTTTGAAAATCACGAAAAAATGCTGAAATCTGAAATTGAGAATTTCGCTCCAAATTCAATGTTTCCTTATAAACTGAGCACTTTTCGGCACATTTTTGAAAATTCGAAATTCGATGGACCCGTTTTATGGGCACTTTACACTATTCAAGTTGGACGAGAACATGATGAATTTCCAATTTATCGAAATTTGAAAGGATTGGACAGGATTTTGAGAAATTTAGAGATGAGCAATGGGAATAAGGAGATTCGAGAAAAGGCAATGGTGACGAGAGAAGTGGTGGTTGATGGAACGAATTATACAGCAGTTGATTTTTATTGATTTTTATTCTTTTTTTGATTTTTTATATATTTTTCATGAGATTTTTATTTCGGATTGTTTCAAAAACATGGTTATATGTACAAATTTTATAATTTTTAGAAATTTCGAAATTAAATAAGGTCTTTGAGAACCCTTGTGCATTCGGAAATAACTAAGCATACCGTAAGCAATACTACCGTAGTTTAAGCCAATGTATCTCATTTCCTGTAGATGATGTCAGAAAGTCAACTGATAAAATGTAGCTGATATTATGACGAACATTTTGTCAGTTATTCCCTTTTTCATATTTTTCACTGGAAAGGAGATACGTGAGCTCAAAGTTGACGGTATGGGTCTCTCTGAAAAAACAACAACAACACATTCCAGGCTGAACCACAATTTGTAATTGTCTATCAAAAAGGAGGAAAGACCACCGAGGATCAATTGTTTGGAATTCCGCGAGAACGTTCGTCGTTCGCAGACTTTTTGTCATTGATGAGAGATACTGTACCGCTTTAGCGAATCGAGCTCAAAAGAAGGCAAATTGGGTTTTCCAACAAAAATCGAAGAAGGACGCTCTCTTGTCCTACGACACTTTTTGTTCTCCTAGGAAAACCACCTGTCACTTTTTAGCTGGATTCATTGTTATTTCTTCTTGGGATAGGCCCCGCCCCTTTTTCTCCAATAGGACCCAGACAATTAGTTCTTTTGTTCAAGGTTTGGGAGGCAGGTCTGCGTGGGCAATGGGCTGGTGGTCTAGTCGGTCAGTGTTCTACGGTTCACTGGAAGGCAGCATCTCTGGAATAGGGCTCGCCACTCATGCTGAGGATCAGACTGAGAACAATGGGGTTTTTGGTTGGTTAATTTTAGAATTTTAGAATTTTAGAATTTTAGAATTTTAGAATTTTAGAATTTTAGAATTTTAGAATTTTAGAATTTTAGAATTTTAGAATTTTAGAATTTTAGAATTTTAGAATTTTAGAATTTTAGAATTTTAGAATTTTAGAATTTTAGAATTTTAGAATTTTAGAATTTTTTCAGATAATTTTGAAATAAATTACATAAATTGAGTTTTTGAACATTTTCTGAATTCCAATTTTTGGAAAAAATTCATTTTCAAAAATTGAAATTAAGTATACATTTTGGAAAAATACAATTAATTTCTCAATTTTGAAAAAAAAAATTTCTTGATTAAATATTATTTTTTTAAAATCGAATTAGGTTAAAAAAAGAGAAAACATTTGAATTAACAAGAAAGTTTGAAAAAATGAGTAGCTCAGGGAATAGTTAAAATACCGATTAGATTAAAAAATTAGAAAAAAATGGACAATTAGAAAAAATTGAAAAAGTTAATTTTCAAAAAAAAAATTATTAAAAATTTCCAATTTCACATCCAAATTGGTCCATCTGGCAAATCGAATAAAATCCGCTCATTGGGATCGACAGTAGGCCAATTTTCGTATTTCCTGCTGTAGGATTTTGGTGCATCTGGAGCCGAAAATTCATTTTCTTGATGTTCAAGATTCGAATTTTCAAATTCTGAATCCATTGAGAAGGATTTTGGAGCATCTGGAGTCAAAAATTCATTTTCAGGAGCTTGAGCATTCGAATTTTGAAATTCTGGCTCCATTTGAAATTTCTGATAAGCATCGAATTCTGATTTGAATTCTGAAAATTTAAAAAAATTAATATTTCCGATTTTCAATATTTAATACCTTCTGAAAATCCTGGAGCATCTTCTGGAGCATTTTTGGAGTCTGTAGAACTCCAATAAAACTTTGGAGCCTCTGGCTGAGCAATAGAGTTCGAGCATTGATCGTTTTGACCGTATTGGTTTACGTTCCGTTGGACTGTTTGACAACTGTGGGAAATTGGAGAGAATTTCGAATTTTCGGAATTTGAAGTGTATTCTGAAGACGTGGAAGCTTCAGAATCGGAATATTGATAATTATTATTGCTTCTATTGATTCTCCTAGCATCATGAATTTGAATAGTTTCGTTTACTCTTCTTCTTTTGACATCTGGAGCCATTGGAACTTTCTGGACGGCTTCAGATTCTTGATTACCGTATTCTGGATAATTTTCAGCATTGCTCATCTTAATTGGAGCATTAGAGTTTTGTACAGTGTACTGTAGATGTCCATTTTGTGCATATTCTAAAGCTCCTGAAGCCTCTGGAGCATTTTTGAAAGCTCCAACTTCTCTGAAATCCTCAAATGCTTGATTACTGTATTCTGGAGCATCATAATTATTCGAAAAATCTTGATTTGGACGCTTTGAGCCGTTAAAATGAGCTCTGGAGTTTTGAAATTGGTGATTTTGGTTGTTATGAGCCACTGGATGCCCATTTTTCACAATTTTATATAATTTTGGACCATTTTGAGTTAGGAATTGTTCTTCTGGATGGTTGAAACCGTCGTTTTCCGGTGTTGGATCAAGTTGAGAGTATTCTGGAGCATCTAGATGCTCCTGAGAATCATGCAATTCTTGATAATCGTATTCTTCATAATTCGGATAATTGCTCATTTGGTTTGAAATTGAAGGATCTTGAAATTCGCAATTTTGGTCTTGAGGGAAATTTTCAGAGACATCTGGACAGTTTTCATATTGCTGCGAATCTGAAAAAGGAAAAAAACTTAAATTTATCAAAAAATCTTAATTTGGGACCATGAAAATCAAAAAAATTCAGAAGTTCCGATTTTTGGAATTTTTGAAATTTTTGGAATTCTGAAATTCTGGTATTTTAGAATTTTGAAAGTACGGAGTTTCAGAATTCGGAATTCTGGAATTCCAGAATCTCGACATTCCAGAATCCCAAAATTCCAAAATATCTAAATTCCAGAAGCCCTAAATTACAAATTTCCGAAATTCCAGAGTTCCGAAAATCCAGATTCCCTGAAACCCGGAATTCCAAAAAACCGAAATCTCGGAATCCCGGAATCCCAAAGTTTCAGAACCACAAATTTTCAGAATCCCGAAGTTCCAGATTTTCATAATTCCAAAATTCCAGAAATTCAGAAGTTCAGAAGATCAGAAATTCAGAAATTCAGAAATCTAGAATCCAGGAATTCCAGAATCCCGAAACTTCAAAATTCCAGAACCCCAAAAACTAAGAATCCCAAAATCCCGAAATTCTAGGATCCCGAAATTCTAGATTCTCGAAATTCCGAGATGCCATAATTTCGCTTTTCTGGAATTTCAGAACTCCAGAATATCGGAATGCCAAAATTCTAAAAAATTCCAAAATTCTCGTCCTTACCTGAATATTCTGAATCCACAATTTCCATTTTCACCGGATTGTGAGAAATCTGAGAATTCCCGGCTGCTCCATATTTCCAGGCACTTGAGTGTCTGGAATTTGTCTGGAAATTCTGATTTCCAGAATTTTCTCGAATATTCCAATTTTCAGGTACTTTTTCCAGAATTCTCACTAGTCGTGGTCCATGGTTTTGGGGATTTTTCGACACGAATCTCAAATTTCCATTCCCGTGATTTTGGATTCTCTGGCCATGTTGATTTTTCAAAACCACTCTTCTGATTTTCACAATTCTCACTGGAATTCCTTGTGGGATATTCTGAGAATTTCGAATTTCTGGAATTCGGGATTCTTCGAAATGTGTTTGTCTGGAATTCTGATTGTGGTTTTGCTGAAAATTCATTTCTGGCTCTTGGAAATTCATTTGTCTGGAGTTCTGATTCGGATTTTGTTGCTGGAAATTCCTTTGAGTCTCCTGAAGTGGGTTTGGTCTAGAATTTGATGGAAAATAGGCAGGAGGAGACATTCTTTGGCCTTGTTGGTTCTGAAAAAATGAAAAAAATATTTTTTAAATCACTTTTTTTTTGAGATTCTGAAATTTTGAAAATCGTGGTTTTGAAATTTAGAGTTACCAAGTTTGAGAATTTGAAAAATTTTGAATTTTTTGGATTCACAAAAATCCGAATTTTCTGGAATTTTTTTAAAAAATTTTGCTCAAAAAATACAAAAATTCTCAATTTTCATATTCTAAGGTATTTTTTAACTTTCGAATTTCGATCAGAATTTTCAGAATCCTTTCTTTTTTTTTTGGTTATTTGATTTTTTGAGAAATATATTTTTTCCGAATTTCAGGATTATGAAATTTTTAGAATTTTTGGGACTTTTAGAATTCTCAGAAAAACTCCCGAGATTTCCAGAAATTCTAAAATTATTCCCAAATTTTCAAAAATTCCGAAAAAGTATGAATTTCTTAAAAAATTCTAAAAATTTCCAAAAATTCTAAACTTTCAAAATTTTCCAAAAGTTCCCGGAATTTCCAAAATTCCAAAAAGTTCCTAAAATTTGAGAAAATTCCCAAATTCCAACAAAATCGCGAAACTCCTAAAATTCCTAATAACTAAAAACCGAAAATTCCAAAAGTTCCAAGAAAAGCGAAGAATACCAAATTGGGCTTCATACGATTTTTGAATTCTCAGACTTTTGAGACCTTAATTTTCAGAATCTTCCAGAAGCTCAAAAAAGCCAACTCACCTCATTTTGTGCATTTCTAATCTCCTGATACTTTTCTAAAAACGGCTTCTTTGTGTCTTCCGGCAACTGATTCCATTGCTCATCCAACTTCTGCACAAACTCCTCTCTCCGAGCTCTCGGAGCCGCGATTCTCGGTCTTTGTTGAATTTCTCGACAGACATAATTCGGATTCTTTTCTCGAAGCCTCTCCTCAGCAAGTCTCGTTTTCTCCATTTCAATTTCTCGTTTCCTCTGCTCACAGAGCCGATTAAACTCCTGTTTCTCCTCGTTCAACATTTTTGCTCTCCAGAAATATTTCATTTTTTGCATTAGCTGAGATTCCGTGCAATTTTGATGGTTTTCTCTGAATTTCTGCTCATTGAGCTCCACCCAGATGGAGAATCCAGACATGGTGTGGATGGATCTTTTCGGAAAGGTTGCTCCAGGAGCTGGAGGTGATATTGAGAGCATTTTTCTGAAGAAAAAAGATTGAAAATTTGAGAAAAAACGAAGAAAAATGAGATTCCAAAAGATTCAGAAAAGTTTCAAAAAAAAAAGTTTTTTTAAAAATTTTTTCGAAATTTTCAAAAACAAAATGGTTGAAACTTTTTTCGAAATCTTCGAATGTTATGAAACTTTTGAAAATTCAGAAAATTTAATTCGAGAAATTGCAAGAAACTAGAAGTTTCTAGCGTTATTTTAAAGATTTCCCGGATTTTTTGGGTTACTGTAGCTCCAAAAGTACGTAAACACCAAATATCGAATTTCGGGCTGAAAATTTGAATTTAGACTAAATTAAGGGTGTTGAAAACAAATTCCACGTTGGAAAACTGTAAAAATGACTTCTAAGGAAATAAAATGAAATGGTCACTGTATTGGAACTACTGAAGTACGCAAACATCGACTTGTCAGTTTTTGACGATGTTGAGATATTTGATTACAGATTTGGAATTCTCGTAAAATTTGAGTCTAGATGCAAAAAACTAGAAGTTTCTAGCGTTATTTTGAAGATTTCCCGGGTTTTTGGGTTACTGTAGCTCCAAAAGTACGTAAACGCCGAGTTTCGGGCTAAAAATTGGGTTCTAGACTAAATCAATGGTGTTAAACAAGAATTTGACACTAAAAACTGTGAAACTGACTTTCAAAGTTGGAAAACTGTAAATTATTGAAGTCCGCAAACACTTTTTCAGATTTTTCATTTCAGATTTGGATTTATCATAAAATTTGAGTGTAGATGCAAAAAAAACTAGAAGTTTCTAAAGTTATTTTGAAGATTTCCCGAGTTTTTTGGGTTACTGTAGCTCCAAAAGTACGCAAACACCGAATATCGAATTTCGGGCTCAAAATTGGGTTCTAGACTATATCGACAGTGGGAAATTCAAATTTAATGTTTATTTGTGCTAATTTTTCAGTGTGGAACAGGATTAAGGGGATGGGACCGGTATCCAAAAATGGGACAAATGAGACAGGGGATGGGACAACAACAAAAAATGAAATGGTATTTTTTGGATCCTCCGTCTCCACCCCATCAGTCATAAACTACTGTAACTATGCCCTAAAAGGGGTAAAGACGGTTTTCTCTAACAATCTCCTCGTTTCTCATACTCTCTACCTTTTCCAGGTGGGTCTATAGATGGGAAAAGGTAACAACTTTTCCTCTGGGAATAAATGTGGAATTTACAATTGTGGGAAAATGAAAAAAAAAGAGGATAGAGGTAAAAACAGGGGCATACAGTACCCTAATTTAAAAAAACAGATTTTGACAAATCTAATGTAACATGAAACAAAGTTGTTTTTCAAGCTCAAAAATAAAAGTTCATGATTTGTGATGTTTTGAGCTTTGAAATGAGCCTGATCATGCCTAAAATCGGTCTATTTTCAAATTTGATGCCTAACACGCGACGCACGACCGCGACGCACCCGAAAAAAGAGGTGCGAATCTAGTCGTCTTTAAGCTCATTTTGAAGCCCTTCACGTGAAAAATTCGAAAAATTGTATTTTATGGAATTTGGTCGTGTTTGAAAAAAGATTTTCGAAAATGTTCAAAATTCTAAAACTCTAACTTTAGATCTAAACTCAAAACTAGGTAGTTTTTCAAGCTCAAAAGTAAAATTTTCAGATTTCCAAAGTTCCGAGCTTTAAAATGAGCCTAATAATGCCTAAACTTGCTCAACTTTACAATTTGCTACCTAACACGCGACGCACGACCGCGACGCACCCCAAAAATCAAAAGTGAGCGAATCTAGTCGTGTTTAAGCTCATTTTAAAACTCTCAACGTAAGAAAATCAAAAAATTAATTTTTATGAAAATTGGACACTCGAAGCTTCTGAGTTCTAAAAAACTGATTTTCAGCCTATTTTCAATACACGTGGCATATCTCACTTGGTTGGATTCTGACCGAAAACTTGTCAACTACACAAATGAAACTCTTGTTTCGCTTAGTCAATTCTGAAACTTTCAGAAAGATTGGAAAACTTAGTTGTACTTTTTTGAGCCACAAAGTCTAAAGACGTCTAAAAAGAATATAAAATTCAAAGGCGCATATTGACTTTTTTTTTGAATGCGGAGAGACAAAAAAGACGTAGCAAAAAGGACATAACTGAAGATGGTGGACTAACTAGAGACCGTATTATAGGGGTACATTGCCAGGGGGTTGGTCAGGTGGGAAAAATCAATAATCAATAACTATCACTCTTATTATGGTCATATAATGGTAATTAGGGTCATTATGAGCTAAGACAACTCCTCAAAACTGTCAATAAATTATTCCAAATGGTCTCTTTACGTTCTTGAAGTGATAAATATTCCAAAAAACGATATAATAAAAAAGAGTAAAAACCACAAGAAAGATTGAACCCCTAGCCTTGCGGTCAGCGCGCCACACCACATACCCTACACCACGGGCGCCACACAGGTAGAGGGGGACTGCTGAAATACTGCTAAATGACAGCTGAGGAAGCGCAAACTGGCGAATGACTGCTAGTTGGCAGCCGAAGGAGAACTGACGGGCCGTCGACGGACAGTCGGAACCCGTTGGAAAAGAGACTTGAAGGTTTTGATTGGAAATCATTCAGAAAACAATTTCTCATACTCCCACTAGATTATAGGAAATGATAGAATATTATTTTTCTAAAATAGGACCGCTTCAAAAAATAGGTTGTTGAACGACTGCTCAATGACAGTCGAAGAGGCGCTGACTGGTCAATGACTGGTGGTTGGCGAGCCAAATTTCTGCAGATTGGAAAATTTTGTTGAAAAAAGATGTTTCTCTTAAAACATAGTAAGTGCCATAGAACGATCTGGGAATCTATAAATTGTGTTATTAGAATCATTTCTACGAAAATTAGAGTCTGAGGCGCAGTTGGTGAAAAACGGCTAAATGACAGTCGAAGAGGCGCTGACTGGTGGATGGCGGCTGAAAAAAAAACGCTGTAAACTGAATTTGTGAATGTTCCTGGGTATCCATCTAAAAGCATGTTTTCGCATCTTTCTGTTCCAAGATCGTAACTCGAGTTTCATGATAATAATCCTCCGTTTAAGGCATATGTTTTCGGCCATACTTTTCCCATTTTTGTGAGAATTTCGACGAAATTTTTTTCTGAGAACGTTGTACAATTTTTGTCTGAAAATGCTGTTTTCGTTTTTTATTTTTTTCTTCAAAAATCTGGACAATTCGTCTTTAATTGCCGTTTTAGGTGACGAGTTTCGGAATTTCGGTTTGCAACGACACTCCGAAATCCCGTCTGCGCCTTGTTTAGCGGCACAAGACTCAACGAATTTTTCCTCTAATTTTCACAGTCTTTTCGTTTTTCGAAGAGTTTATCATTAAAATTCAGTATTTTTCGCTCAAATTATCTAATTATTGGCAAAAAAATCGCATAGGAAACATTTGCGCACTTCTTTTCTCGCAGTTTCGATTGAAAAATCGGTGAAAACTCGTTTCGATAACATTTTTGAAGGTTTCGCTAGTTTTTGCTTCGGGAGGTAAGAAAAATAAAGCCTTTCAGGTGTTTTTATATGGTGAGTTGGTAAGTTTCAATAATTTCCCAAGCGAAAGCTATCGAAAACTTTCATCGTTCTCGTTACTTTATCGACAATCAGCTTCACTGACAATTCGCAAAGTGTGACGTTTCGCAGTGTTGATTTTTCGGAAGTAACAGTAACAGAAGAAATATAATGTTTCTCAATTTGTAACTGGCTTTTAGTATATTGTCTGTTTGTAAAGTTATTCTGAGCATTCATTGTCGCTGTCGCAAAACGTCACACTTGCGAAACTTCGCACTTTCGAAGTGTCTATTTGAAAAATTTCGCGACACCTTAAGATCTAACGATTTTCCCATCTCATGCCAGTTTTTAATGCGCAATTTTACGAATTCTCAAACTTTCCTTACTCTGAAAGAAACTCATAACATAAAATCAAAGCGAAAAATACTGTTCAATGAGAGAGCATTCCGGAAAGCAAAGGAAAATGAAATCGAGAAACGAAGAAGGAAAAGAGAACGAGAGGAAAAAAAACCTTCGGATTTTTAAAGTTTAATTTTTATGAATTTGAATTTTGCGAAAAAAGAAAATCGAAGTTCTGTTCCCTATAGAACTTGTAATTTCTTATGTGTTTCCTTTCATTCTACTCATTAAAAATTCAACTTTGAAAAATTTGGAGTTATTTTTTCAATACAATACACATTCCATAGAAACTATTAGTTTAATAAAGAATGCTTATTACCTGTATAATAAAGCTGTCAAGAAAGCGCTATCATTTAAGACGGTCCGTCTTCGAGGAGCAAATCGTTGCAGACGGACCATCGGCGGCGCGCACTTGGGTTCAGGCGAGGGGGTCANAAAAAGCGCCCCAGCAAACTCGTACGCCAGAAGAAATTTCATAATTTCAAAATGAACGCGGGTTTGAACTAGATCATGATCTATTTCTTAAAAATCAACGGGTTGCAACGCGCGTATTCTCGCTCATCGTTTA